AATGTATTTAATACTTAGTGTATTTGACATGTTTATAGTGTTGAAAAAGAAGTAATTAGTGGGTCATTAACTATATTAATAGTGTAATTAGTGTATCTAATAATGATTTCATCAAAATTTGACGTATTGGATCAAAATAACATATTTAATGCTTCTTTTATGTGTTTAACATATTTATGATGGTAAAATAGGTTTAATTATGTTTTAATAAAATTATTTAATACTGCGATTAGTGATTTTAATAATGATTTAATCAAAATTTGATCGATATCGAGTTAATTCAATATCTTTAATACATATTAGGGTGTTTGATATGATGTTTATAGTGTTGAAAGAGAAATAATTAGTGAGTAATTAAGTATGTTAATAGTGTGATTAATGCATCTAATGATGATTTCATCATAATTTAACATCAAAATAATGTATTTAATGATTCTTTTATGTGCTTAACATGTTTATGATGATAAAATAGGTTTAATCAAGCTTTAATCAAGTTATTTAATTGTGCTTTAATAGGTTTAATTTGATCGATATTAGATCAATTCAATATCTTTAATACCTATTAAGGTGTTTGACATGTTTATAGTGTTGAAAGAAAAATAATTAGTGGGTAATTAATTATGTTAATAGTATAATTAGTGTATCTAATGATGATTTTATCATAATTTGGCCTGGATCAAAATTATGTATTTAATGCATATTTTATGTGTTAACATGTTTATGATGATAAAATAAATTTAATTAAGTTTTAATAAAGTTATTTAATGATGTGATTAGTGGTTTTAATAATAATTTAATTAAAATTTGATAGATATTGGATCAATTCAATGTCTTTAATACCTGGTGCTTTATATGTTTATAGTTTATTTGATTTAAATTTGACAGGAACATAAACAGTCATATGATGAAGCATAGAGTCATGCTTTAAAGGTAGATGAAAACTGTCATAATTGATAATGTATTTATTGTGACTACATTAACAAGAGTGGAGAAATCACTTTAGTGAAAATGCATTTGGTTGGTGGGTATCTCGATATTGTAAAATGTAAGGAAATTCTGACGGAGGTCCGTAAATTATTTCAAAACAAATTACAATAAGCAAGAGAAGATACAATAAAAAAGAAGACGAGTTGAGGAAGAATACTACAAGGCTACGCGGGAACCAGTTTATGACAAGTATGAGGGTCGTAGCAATGAAGTCGACGTGGATCTCACAGTTGGTATTGGTGCATTAGTATATATACGACAAAACAACGAGGCATCGACGACTTGACTCACAAAAGGAGCATTACAGTGTTAGTGGAATCCAAAGATCGATCAGCATTTAGTAGCCAACTGCCCCTCATAAGTTAGGATGAACTAGTAGCATGAGGCATGATGGACTCCGTGGTTTTATGAGAGATTTTGGTAGGAGATCCGCATCATATATTGTTGATATCAATCCACAAGCCTATCCTTCACAAACAGCGAAACAAACATGAATTGACGATGCATATACAAAAGAAAAGAAACGGGATATTGAAAAGACAATTTCAAAATGGTTCAACTTCCACAGGTTTCTAGCAAACATACAATAAGCATTCTGTGGTATGTAACATACAATCACCTCGAAGTAGCAGGCAAGTAAATCAAATCAACGATTCTTAATTTCATCCCAACCTGTATGTTCTGGTGGTATAAGCAGAACCAGCACGTAGACCAGGCTTTTTGCTAGCTCTAGGCATGGTAACTTGCAGCAAGTAGGTGATTTCATCCACCTGCCCGATACTTCTTCTCTTCTTCCTCCTCCTACTCCGCCCCTCTCTCTCTTGCATCTCTCTTATCTTCTTCTTCTCTCCCTCCTCATCCCCCATTCCCTGTTCTCAGTGCGGACCAGCATGGTGACAGACAGTAGGTCAGTATGCCACCGTATCTGATCCATACTGGTCCACCCAGCCCAGGGAACCAAAATTTTGAACCATGATCAAATCATTTAGATACCTTATATCTATCCATCTGCTCAAGATTCCCAGACCCTAAATTGCTGAGGCTTCATCGAAACCCCAAACACAATCCAGTCTACCACAACATCTAATCGGAGACCGACAACCAAGAAGCACAAGACAGATCTGATCAAACTAAACAAAAACAGAAGAATCCACAGAATCAAGGAACATCAAAAAAATTGACCATGGAGTATCAGAATGGACCGATCCAAGACGACAAACGCAAACAAAAAAGCACTCGATTTTGGCATAAACACTCATGCGATCAAACGAAATGAGGAGCACTCACGTGGGATCGGAGGAACGCCATACTAGTAGCAAAGGGTGCCACTCCACTGTTCACAATCCCTATTAGACGCTTTAGAGCGAGAATGGAACGGAAGAGAAAGATGTGGTGGCGAAAGAAGTTGGACTGCATACCAAAGAATATATCTGTATATATACGTAAGAGAAAGATGTGGCGGCGAAAGAAGTTGGACTGCACACCAAAGCATATATATATATATATATATATATATATATATATATATATATATATATATATATATATATATATATATATATATATATATATATAT